GACATGATGAAAAGTAAATTTCAGAATGAAAGGCTGCATTGTCCAGCTGTAATAATTCTATTAGGGTTGAAAGTTATTGGAAAACTGCAAAGATCTATTTATTAATTAAAAGCAAAGACTAGAAAACTATTCCCCACAACAATAATCATACCTACACATAATATTGGAGTAATCATTATGAGATAGCTTGCAGAGCAACTTACTAAAATTGGACTGTCGATTAGATCATAAAACTCACTTTCTTAGAGCAACTCAAGAGGAAAAAAAATTGAAAAATGTTTTAAACAGAAGGGTTGATTTTAGTTTTATTGGGGAGATGTGTTTTATTGTTGCATGTTTGCTTTTTTTTTTGTCTTCTGTTTATTTGTGATGGTATTTTTTATAGCTGATCATTGTACTGCAAAGAATATCTGCATAATTTGGCGAGGTGGGGGAGGGGTGTGAATATATAGCTCTACATTAATAACTCAATCTTCTTTTTCTCTTGCATGGTCTTCGGGGGCTATATTTCACAGCCCAAAACAATTTATTCTACTTGCAATCCTCAATCCTTCAGAAAAATTTATATTGAAAATGAGCAGTGAATATTCTTCTTTCAGAGATGCCCTAGGGAATATAAATTTGTTACAATAGTTTCTGATTCCAGTTCCATTTCTCAGATAGTTTATCCAGTGTTTTAGACTACCTGATGCAAATCTTCTAAAAATAACCTTAAGCTCTTGTTTTTTATAATTCTTTGATGCCTTAAAGAAAGAATAAGTCCAAAGATAGATGACAGAAGTTTAACAGAACTATGCTATAGTCTAAATTGCTGGAAATAAATGTGCAAAACTGTACAATTATTGAACAATTAACTTTTTGGACTGCATTGTGATCTACCCTCAGGGTAAAATACACCAAAACACCTGTTAAATAGTGTAAAATCTAATTTTACTTAATGGCCTTTATTTCCCTAATTTGCTTGGGAAAATCTGCAATCAGGAAAAAATATTTTATTCCCATTGTGGAATGAAGTGCCAATTTGTTCCAGTTCCTTTTAGTGCGTATATCGCATTTACACTAAGTGAAATTCATTTGCAGATGAACTTTATAGCTCCAGGAAGTTGTTACAGGAACTCTGACATGCAGAAAAAAACTTTGGTGTCTGTGTGTTCCTGGAACTCTTGATTTTTATTTATTGGGATGGATTTTAATGACTCAGGCCAATAAAAGTCACATGGATTATATTAAAATTATAGAAAATCTTAGCTGGAGTTTTAAAATATCTAAAGTGAACAGAAAAGTCTTCTGCACACAAAAGGAGAAATGTAAAGAAAATTATTTCAATTTAGATTTAATTTAGTTCATAATATATCAGAAAACAACTTTTTGGTATACTTGAGCCCACCTACAGTGTTCATCTAAAAGTCCCATTAGCAAGTTAATTGATCTTCCCTGATGAAATCTTAATGATCCCACCCACACAAATGTTAATGTCTATTTAACCTGAAGTAGCCTAGCAAGCACAAATGTTACCTTTGAAGTAAGATGATATAAGGAAAGTAAGAAAAATCAGGATTCAAATTACTTTTCTAGGACATTTTTCTTTACTGTTTATTTGGAAACTCTAGCAGAAAAGTGAAAAAGGGACTTCTATGTATTCAAAGAAAAGAAAATAAAGAAGTGGAGTTTAATGCTTCTTAAAGATGTGTGCAAGAAAAGTGCTTGTAAAGGATATACATTTCATAAAAGCACTGATTCAGGGTAGGATACAAAGGATAAAAATAAAAAGAGGTTTGTTGATATTTAAACTAGCTCTATACCTAGAACTTGTTGGTTATGTGGATGTTTGGTAGCTATTTAATGGCAATGCAGAGGGCAACATGAAAATGAAGTCATAACACCTGTGCTCACAATGTATAATGCAGGGGTAAGACATAACTAACAAAAGTAAATTAATCACCAATAAACGACTCCCAAATCATTCATCTGTAATAACAATTAAATTTGGTTCAGGGTTTATATTTCCCCACCCAGCCACAAAGACCACTTGAGATTATTTTTCTCCTTTTTCCAAAACAATTATGTTCTATATCAGTTGAATTACAGAATTGGAAATAAACACTTATGCTCCCTAATTATGACAATCATTTTCTAGAGAACAAAAGGTTCAGTTGCTTTTGTTTTAGTTTTATTTTATTTTTTATGTGGAATGTAACTTTGTTTATAACAATCAGCAATTAGTTCTGGCAATATCCCTGTGGCTCCCCAGCCAGCTGGAAGCAGAAACAATTAGATAGTTGGCATTTATTTTAGGGCAGCAGCTTCAGAGTTCTGAACAAATACTCATTTTCATCAGTGTTATTTAGGTTTTTAAGAATTTTCTTCCCAGATTTTTCTCAGGAAACCATTTTAGTTCTATGTGACTCCATTCAGAATTGAATGAGACTTACTTGCCAGTCAGAAGGCAATGTTTTTATTAGAAGGTAACATATGTGTTTAGAATGGAGTTTCGGGATACTTTACAGAGTTTAATAATTATTTCCAGTTAACTACAGAAGAAAGAGTTGGGAGAGGTTAGAGGTCTGACAAATTTATATAAGATTGTGAATTACACCTTCCATTTGAAAATGTATCTGAATACTAGCCTTTCAACCATAAGCTTTAACTGATATCAGCTTTTAAATTTCAGATGTCAGTTAAAAACTGTGAAGTACAAAGTAAAAAGTTTATGATCTAATCCACACTGCAAAAAATATTAAAGAGATGAGATTAAAAAAACCCCACAACACTACTATATTTTAACTGGTGTAATTAAGCAAGCTGATTTCTTTTTGGTATCACAGTAGATTCTTGGGGAAGAACTGTAGATAAAAACACAGTATGGTCTCTGGCATGGAAATGGTGAAAAATGTGATTGCTGGATATGAGGAACACCATAAGAACAAATCTGGCATTGATATCTGGACCAACAGTTGTCAGAACAGTCTATGAGAAGTACAATACAAGGTTACAGAGAATTAAGAAAAGTCCAGGAAGCATGGAAAGTGAGAAATATATAACGATAAAGAATTATTTGAATGCATAACAAGTAGTCAATATTATTATATATTTAGTTAGGAACAGTACTTTCAGAAAAAGGGAGTTAATACGACAGCCATATTATTCTAATGAATAGAGAAGCTACTGTTTGTGGGTTAAACTGGAAAGCAACTTCAGGGTGGAAGGTGGGGGGAATACTCACTGCGTACTTAAGTCAGCGTTAGCCCTGCACATTAAGTTACACCCACAGAAAGAGCAAAGACTGAATTTAACAGAATGCTGTAGATTCTTAAGGTATCAGCTTGCAATGTAGCAGATAGAAGGAAAGAGGAAGAATAAAACATCTTGAAAACTATCCAACAGCAGAGAAGGTGCATCTAAATCAACAGAAACAATCTGATCAATGTATTGGAAGTTGCACTGGCTCTGGAGGTGTTCAAGAAACATTTGGATGTTGTGTTAGGGACATGATTTAGAGAAAATTATTGGTGATTGGTGCATGGTTGGACTGGATGATCTTAGAGGTCTTTTCCAACCTTGGTGATTCTATGATTCTATAAAGAATGCTACATTGTAATACAGATATTCTACCCTAGGTACTTGAATTCTTACCATTATCTTACCATTATATGATATTTCCCTTTGAAAATATGCAATCTTTAGAAACTACCTGATCAGTTTGGAGCTGCAATGAATCTAAGTATGCTACATGACAACATGGACAACCCATGTAATGTACTCAGGTTGCTACCATTATGTTGTGTTCTTTCCCTTTCTGATGCCAAAACACTGCTGTTCCACTGGCAGTTCACACTGATTACCTTGCACTGTTTGTCAAAAATCTGATTCACATTGAAGATTGCTTTTTTTAACATCCAGAGGGATCAAATTTTCAAAGTGCTTGGATAACATCAGAACGCAGTGTTCTTTCTAAAACACTGAGTTACATTTTAAAATTATATGAAGACCACATTGGGAGTTAGGCAGCTACATATCAATTTATCAATTTCTGATCCTCAGAAATAGAAATCTCATGGACATTCAGTGGTACTTAACTTTTATATGGAATAAAGATCCTAAGACACATATACATCTTTAAAAGTTTGGCCCATATGCAGAATACATTGCTTACCAAAGCATTGTGTTCAGTTTTGGGCCCCTCAATACAAGAAAGACATTGAAGCATTGGAATGTGTTCAGAGAAGGGCAGTGAAACTGGTGAGGGGTCTGGAGCACAAGTCTTATGAGTAATGGCTGAGGGAGCTACGATTGTTTAGTCTGGAGAAGAGGAGGCTCAGCGGAGACCTCATTGCACTCTACAGCTTCCTGAAGGGAGGTTGTGATGAGGAAGGTTTTGGCCTCTTCTCCCAGGCAACAGAAAAGTCCTGAGGAAATGGCTGTAAGTTGCACCGGAGGAGATTTAGGTTAGACATAAGGAAAAAAATTTTCTCTCATATAGTAGTGGTCAGGCACTGGAATGGCCTGCCCAGGAAGATGATGGAGTTGCCATCCTTCACAGTGTTCAAGAGGCGTCTGGATGAGGAGTACAAGATATGGTTTAGTAGCTTGTGGTAGCAATGGTAATGGGAGGATGGTTGGACTAGATGATCTTGTAGGTCCTTTCCAACCTTGTGATTCTGTGATTCTTTAATATCACTTGTTGCAAGTCAACTGTGATCTACCTGCCATAACAACAACAGAAATAGGGTAACATTCTATTTAATAGATTCTGTCAGGAGTACTGGCTCAGACATAACTTTTCACACATGTGGCTAAGTTGCCTTCACAATGGTGCTTAAAACCTATGAGCATTCACTCAAAGAATTTCACATAGACATTATACATAAAAATATAACTCTAGAATGGAATACCTATTAAATACTACTTCTAGTGAATATGAATCAACAAAAATAGAGTGGAGAAACGTCTCATACTTTACTGTTTAAAAATAACTTTTGCTTTGCCTAATGCTTAGTGAAGAATTACACAGAAATTTTTATGTTTGTATTGGTTGGACTTACAAGTCAAATCCTGGACCCAACATCTTTCTTGCATATCAGGAGGCACTCTGCAGCTTCAAAACAGATGAAGAGTCATACTGCCAGTTTTACAGTCATTTTCCTTTATCTTTTATTTTTCCCTTCCTCTTCTCACTCAGGTATGTAATGAGTCCATACCTTATCATGTTCTGACAAGGGCACAGTCTCTTCAGGCTTCCATGGAAGTAATGTGCACAGCATATATATAGAACCTATGTAAGGGTTATATATACATAAGGGTTATATATACATAACATATAATAATAGAAATATTGAGAACAAACTCTTTAATAGGTGGATACCATTGTATGTCCTGTCTTATCCAGTGAAGGTGATTCAGCAAAGGATTCATCCACAGATAACTTAAGTGTTGCCTCGAAACCATCATTCTGCCATTTCTTATTAGACAGGCCCTTCACTGTAAAAAAAAAAAAAAAAAAAAAAAAGAGTGTATTAACAATGCTGGAAACATGAGGCCATTCGAAATTAGTAACAGAACAGAGGAACTAGGCAAAGATGTAACTTCTAGAAATCATTTAACTGTCCAGATGTTTAGTCACAGATCATAATCATTTGGATTTTGCAGAAATGGCCAAAAAAATTGTCTGGGAAAATCTAGGAAGTACTTTTTAAACATTTGTTTCAATATATGTCTAAAGCTGAGATTTATTGTTCTATTCTATTGCTGTTCTTTTGTATTTGCTTTCTGCTGTGGCTTTAAATTGTGTTTTCTGTTTATTTCCTTTTCTAAAATACAGATACATTTCTTTAAAAAGCAAAAAACATCTTTTTTCTCTTACCAAGTCTTTATTCTGTATTATATGGGCGCTTGTTCTGTTTTCTTTTCCCTTTCTCTTCCAGGATATATCTAATATTTATAGTTTTTTAAAAATCTTTCTGTTGTTACGTCTATTTCCTTGACTCACATATACAGTTTATGATAGACAGAAAAACACAATTTTGGCATAGTTCAAGTACAAAATCAATGAATATGTATAGTAAAGGAAGTTGTGATTTCTAATATCTTTTCCCTTCAACAAAAACTACTGCAAAGATGCAGATAATTATTACACAGCTCAGTACAAGTTAGAAATACGTATTTCACATTTACTTCAAACTTGATATACAATAGAAAAGGGGAGTAGACTTGTCCTATCTATGTAGCAAGCCTTATTCTCTTGTCACTAGTACAGTATGATGTGAGAGACATCCAAGTAGCACAAGAAAAAACATCAAAGGAATATACTGTTTTAAATACCCTTTCAAAAGTAAATAAATAAACTCTGACATCTTGGATGGGTTGGAGAAGATATGGACATATGTTTATTCTGCAGGGTAAGTAGATTTGATAAGAGGACTCTTCAATAATGACAATGATAAAAGCCATATTTTTTTTCTGTAGATCATACGCATACCTTTAGATTAATTTATACGCAGCTTTCTGAATTTCCATAGATGTTGAAAATTACTGAACAGTTAGAATAACTGTTGAATAGACCCTATAGGGTTTAGAAATGACTAGCAAAATATATCAAAAGCAAATAATTATTAATTATTTATATTTATTATAAAAATATAGATTAAAATATAGATTTATTATATGTTAATTATTTATATTCACTATAAACCAATTTTTTCATAACAATGATAGAGAAAGAAAGAGACTAAAAAAGGAAACTTGGGATGGCGTTTTACATATTGGAAAAAACGTTCCTGGTTTTCTTTAATAACAGGAGAGAATGAATTTTACTTTTAGTAAAGTATTGGGTAAAAGCTGACAGGAATAAATTTGACATCTGGCAGCAAAAGCATCTGCTGAGATGTACTTAGGGTTTTATAAATGTGTCTTGTGGTAAAACTTTTCTATAACAGACTAACATAATAAAACAGAAAACTAGACTTCTGGCATTAAAGCTAATTACAAAGAGGATGAAGTCTGGGAAAAAGACACAGATGAGATCAACTGCCTGGTGATAAACTTTGTAAATATCTAAGGGATCTAAAAAGTACAAGTAAGTATTATAATAACAAAAGCTCACAATCAAATAATTTTCATAAAGAAAAGCCTGCAACATCTCTCAAGTTTGTATAAAATATCAATCCATGCTACACTGTAGTAACTACAGAGCATAATAACCTTTTAGCCTTTGATCTTATCTCATCATGAACAGATATATAGAAACACTTTGATCTAAATAGTGAATACTTTTCCCAAAAACAATTCAAAGGGCCATCTGGATGTTCTCAAATAGAATAGAGTGGAGTGAGATACAGCACTATGAGAAACATACCCAAGTGTGAAAGGACTTAAATTATTAAAGGATAACGTCCATCTTCTGAAACCTAGTGATGAAAATACTGCAGTGTTTTCCCTTTCAAAATCTCCCCTGAATTGAACACCCATGTTGCCACCCTGTTCTGAGAACAAATGCTAGCTTGCAACATACTCATTTTAAAAAGCTTTTCAGCTTCAGTGCAATCTTCCTGGCAGATCGAAGAAGATAAAGCTTTCCATTTATGTTCATAAGTCTCAGAGGTTCTCCTATACTTTGCTAATAATAATATTTACTGTGGGATGTTACAGATTCATCTCTCATGATTCTTCTGAAAGGGAAAAATGCACCCCAGGCTTATGTCATTGTCCTAAGAATAGTTCAGAACTGTTATAAGGAAAGCATTAAACTGTGATTACAGCCTGTGCTAACTGATAACAAAAATAAAGCTAAATTCAGGCCAGAGAATGAACTCAATAATGCAACTCATTTTTGAAATAATTTCTAAATCTGATGGTTGAAGTCTCAGTCTTAGTATGACTGACTCGGGAGTTTAATAGTAAAACAGAAACCCGTTCCACAGCTACATCTTTCATCTATGATGCTAAAACTTGAGTAGACAGCTGGAAGAGAAGCAGACTTAAAGTTCTGTGGGTCAGCCACAGAAAAAAATGCATCCTGACTCAAAGCATTAGCACTTAGGGATATATTGGTTTATTGTACAAAATACTGATATATTTAGTTAGTGTAGAAACTTTTACTGGGAAGCACGTGCTCTCATGAGTACTTTCTTGGAAGGAATATAAGTAAACATTCAGCATTTTAAATATTGCTCAGCCTATAGCAACAAGAAAGAAGCAACTGACTAAATTCTTGCGTATAAAGCAAAGCCAAAGCAGGAATGATAACCATTTGTCTTTGCCATTAATTTCCAAAACTACTGCTCTTTCAGGAGATAATTTTAGAAAGCTGTTTAAAGAAACTACATTAGGTTTTTTTTCATTTCCTGATCTAAAGAGTTTTTAGACAAAATATGCAAAACAAGGAAGATCAAGTCAGATCAAAATCGAGACCGTTTCTTTCTTATCAACTTCTTATTTTCTACTTGTAACATTTAACCTCTTTTTTCCATAAATTAATTCTCAATCTCTCTCTAATTAGTCCACGTGGGCTAACAGTTCAGAAGTGTATGGGAATTATTGAATCATGGCCTGAACCTCTGATCAGCTGAGGTAAGCAGTGAGTCAGCTGTGTGGGAGCACAGGTGAAGGCAGTTCACCTGTGTGACTGGAAGGGGTGGAGCCTGGGCTCCACCTCTCCTAGACAACATTTAAGAGTCGACTGCCACTGGGGAAGGTTCTCTATCTGGAGATTGCTCCTTTTGGAGTCTTTTTTTTGTGAGCCCAGGACATGGGTAAGCTTTTCCATTCATAACTGATAATCCATTTGTAGTGTGGTAATCTTCCCACCTGTATGCTCTCTAAAGACAGTCTAGCTTCTCTGTGTACTTGTTGATTATACAAGAAGCGTGGATGAACATATATTTTTAAAAATGGACTTGTAACAATCTTTAATCAGAGGGGAAAAATTTAGAAAAATGAGTACTCTAACACCAGCTGAGTATGAGAGGAACATGAATGAGGGTTTTCCATTTAGGACAGAATTTGTTAAAAAGCAGTATACGTTTCTCTAGCTACTGAGGTCAGGTCTCTTTCAGTTTGTTTATTCTCTTGTTTGTTTGATCTCCCAGATTATATTTATTATTGATTTGAAATATAATATTTTTAATTACGAATAAATCATTGCTATCCTAGAGTCAACATCAGACAGAAATAATCAAGTACAATACCATGAATATATGAATAACAATTGGAGGCCTTATGTAGATAGATTCTCTTACAAACCCAAGCTCAGGAAATGTGTGATCAAATATTTCCGACAATGGCTGAGCCATTTTAGCAACAATTACCACAATTATTTATTTCTAAGTACTGAATTAGTGAAAATGGAAGAACTGCCTCAAGTCTTGATTTAAAATTTCTCCATTTGCATGAATATATGTTGACACACTAATTTTTTTCAGCAAGTCAAGCCTCAGCATCTTAGTGAAATTTTAAAGACTGGAAATTGAAGCTAATTATACATGGTTTTGTTTTGTTTTATTACTGTAGAACCTACATTTAATATACTTTATCAAAATTCCTTTTTATTGCCCCTTAAGATACATTATTTATGAATTAATGTGCTTTAAGATAAAACTGATAGGATTTAGCCTTAGGATTTTATATTCCATCGTTATTTTAATTCATTCTTACTGAATTTTTGAAGCTCTGTCCTTTCACTGTGCCATTTATTGCAATAGTATTACCATTAATCTTTGAAATTGAATTCATATTTTACTTATCTTTCTGGGTAGGTAGTATTTGACTATTTTCCAGTATGTATACATCTAAATAAATAGTTTAAGTAGATTTTCTCATCCATTTTTAGCTTTCCTTATATTTCATGGTATCAACACATTTACAAGTTCTAATAGATTATTTCCAGTGCAGTATGTCTTAAAAATGAGAAATTATTGCTAACTTTAAGCCTGTTTGTATTTATCAGGGCACTCCAAGATTTTTAGGCAGACTATTATGAATAGATGGTTTTAAAATTTACCAACCAGATAAAAAAAAAAAAAAAAAAATGGAGACAAGTTGTTACTGAGTTACTTTTCACTGAATTAATCTTAAAAGTTTATGGATATGCTCCAAATATTCAAAGAAATTTCTCTGGTAATATAATTTCACAATATGCAATTAATTAAATGTTGTCATAAACCAGTCAAGACCACAGCATGAATATGGAGGACAAATGATTTGACTGAAATATTTCAAGCTTGTGTTTTTATGTAGAATACTTCCATTAGAGGTTAACACTAAAGTGTTTGGTAATGGACTTGTACACAAAGTCACCTTATCTTAGCCAAAGCTCAGAATGATTCTGAAAGTGGAGATTTGAATCACAGACCTCCTTCTCCTAATCACTATTGTATATTAAAAAGCAAATAAATGAGAAAAACACAACAAATAAAGAGGGGCTGAAGGGAGTATCCTGACATCAGTCTGGCCAAAGTTATCCCAAAGTAAACCAGAAAGTTAAA